GGAGAGAGGGAGAGGGAGAGGGAGAGAGGGGGGGGAAGAGAGAGAGAGAGAGTTATCTGTTCAAAGCTTCAATCTGAATTTCCGAGGGTCCTGGTCTCGACCCATCATGGACGTCAGGCTGCCCATGTAGCATGGTATCCCATCGGCCTTGGAGCAGTTGTACTCGGTCATCTTCATCAACGTTTTGTCTTTTCGATGTATTCTGTGTCCAGCTGTATGGACGTGACTCGACGGATCGCTGCCGTTTCCTGCGCCGAAAAAAACATCCAGAAACCGAGAGCAGCAAGGAAGAGCAAATTAAAAAATCACTCACAAGGGCGGAGGGCGGAGGGTGGGGGGAGAGGTCCTATGGGTGCACGGGCCCATAGAATGGGTCACAAAGGTCCATGGGGTCAGATGTATGGGAACCATTGGGCCACGGGGCATACTACAGGCCTTGAAAATGGGCCCCGATCTAGGCCCAATGGCCTGTGGGTCCTAAAAAGTGAACCTGTGGGCCCCATGGGCTCTGAAATTAGAACCCTATGGCCTCAAGGGTCCTAAAATTGGAACCACATGGGCTTGAGGGGTCAAGGGGCCCGAGGGTCCTATAACTGGAGCCCCATCTGCTCGAGGGGTAATAGGCCCAAGGGCCCTAAAACTGGAACCCCATGGGCTTGTGCTTGGTTCTACAGGCTATCGAAATGAGGCGTGCGGGATCTGTGGACCCTAAAATAGAAGCCACAGGTTTTAGGGGTCTGTGAAACCGCGCACTGATTGAGCAAGAGGTCGGTGCTCAGGAATTGAGCGCCGCTCATAACCGCGCTCAAGAGCGCCTTGAGCGCCATGAGCGTGGTTGCGGCCCTGTGTTTCCTGGGGGATGGACGGGCCAACGGGGGTGGTGTGGGTCGGAGGTCGTGGGGGGCGGGGGCTGGGCAACACCCCTCCCCAGTTATGGGTTGCCGATTTTTTTTATTTTTTATTTTTATGGAAAAGATAGCTAGATAGATAGAGACACACAGAGAGAGAGAGAGAGAGAGAGAGAGAGAGAGAGAGAGAGAGAGAGAGAGAGAGAGAGAGAGAGAGAGAGAGAGAGAGAGAGAGA